CCAGAGTAAGCACTTGAATGTTCGCTTCAGGCTGCATACCACCAGAGTAAGCTCTTGAACTTTCGCTTCAGACTGCATATCACCAGAGTAAGCACTTGAATGTTCGCTTCAGGCTGCATACCACCAGAGTAAGCTCTTGAACTTTCGCTTCAGACTGCATATCACCAGAGTAAGCACTTGAATGTTCGCTTCAGGCTGCATACCACCAGAGTAAGCACTTGAACTTTCGCTTCAGGCTGCATACCACCAGAGTAAGCACTTGAACTTTCGCTTCAGGCTGCATACCACCAGAGTAAGCACTTGAACGTTCGCTTCAGGCTGCATATCACCAGAGTAAGCTCTTGAACTTTTGCTTCAGACTGCATATCACCAGAGTAAGCACTTGAACTTTTGCTTCAGGCTGCATACCACCAGAGTAAGTACTTGAATTTTCGCTTCAGGCTGCATACCACCAGAGTAAGTACTTGAATTTTCGCTTCAGGCTGCATACCACCAGAGTAAGTACTTGAATTTTCGCTTCAGGCTGCATACCACCAGAGTAAGTACTTGAATTTTTGCTTCAGGCTGCATACCACCAGAGTAAGTACTTGAATTTTCGCTTCAGGCTGCATACCACCAGAGTAAGCACTTGAAGGTATTGATGACAGAGATCTTAAACATTTTCAAAACACCATTCAGAATTCTTCGTAAGTGTAAACAGTTTTATAAATCGGAGATTTTCAAACTGTGGTATGAGTACCACTGGTGGTACATGGAACTAATGTCGGTGACACGCGAAGTAATTAATGTCAAAATTATAAAATATGTAATATGTTCAATTTGATCTTCCCGCGTACATATACACAGTACTCTCCTCACTTCTGGATTTCCCCTTTGCCTTCATAGACTCGCCAGTGTTTTATTCTTTTCAAATTGACAAAAATTGCGCTACATATTCAAGTTTTACAACAACAACAAAAAAAAAAACGATCACATAAGGACTGTTATACATTAACGTGTAAGTGTTAAAAGTGTTAATTTTTTACTACTAGGCTTTTTCATTTTTTTTTAAATTGGTCCTAGGTTTGTACTTCAAAAAACGTTTAAACAAAAAGTGATAACACGAGTCTGAAAAGTTTGAGAACCATTGTTATAAATAGAAACATTGTTCATAATTATGGTAAGTTTCATAAGGTCCAAAGTTGTGTCACTCATTAAAAACATATAGAAAGGTTAGAAATAATCTCTGGCTTTTCTACAATTAAGCCTAAAGGGAAGGGACAGAGCTGTGTTAATCGTCAATGACATAGTTCTATCAAAGACAGAATTTATTTTTGTGTTTGTTTAGTATATATTGACATGTTTAGAAAGTGAATTGATGACTTCATCAAAAGTATTGTGAATATTTCATTACTGTCGTACTGTTCTAGCAATACCTGATAGTTATGTTTCCAGTTATACAATCCTTCTAATTCTGTACGTGTTTGATTTATAAAATATACTGTTATTTTTATTTGATAAATGTAATCCTACTTTTTTTTTTTTACCATACCTGGCATATTTATATGGACAGTGTTTACGATATTGTTTTATACGACTGGAGTTTATTTGATGACTATCAGTTGGAAATTTCTCTTAAGTTCCTGTAATCAATATAATATTTGTATGTGATCAGGATTATTGTGTGTTAAGTAACTGTTTCGTTGAAGTATATTCTGGTGAATGAAAAAATGCCCTTAATTAACTCAGTTTATTGTCAGGAAATTCACTAGAGAAGAAACTTAACAAATAATTTACCCCAGAGATTTATGTGTGTTTTCACACAAGTATTTTATGCATTCTGAAACATTTTGATCTTTGAAATTGTCGTAATATGTTATTAAACCATATAGATAAAACTGCTTTAAAATTTTGTAAGAATTTTTTAACGGATTATTTCTTAAAAATTGAGTTCTGAATATTGAATAAATAAAATTATTAAAAACTTGACAATCGTTTAAAAATGCCACATATAATGTATTAATAAAATAAATGAGTGTTTACAATTTATTGTCGTGTCGTAATTCATTTAACGTACATTATTAAGGAAAAAAATGTTTGACAAAAACGATTGTAATTAGCCACAGCAGAGGCGTTGATAGGAACTGGCACACAGGGACAGACACCCCGAATCCTCAGTTGGTGTCTTTCAAAAATCAGAATTGAAAACCTTGATCGACATCATTACTGAAACGCCGAAAATTCCCGAGCCCCGAATCTTTTAAGCACCTAGCGACGTCTTGAGTCACAGTAGGAGAGTATTTATTTTTAGTAAACATTTCATTAGATTTGGAATCTTAGCACGTTTATCAGACACTGTACAGTTACATTCACTTAGCTTTATGGCTGAGCGGAGATGCTTTTAATAGAGAAGTAAATGAATAATCAGAATAGGTACTCGTAAGCTGACCGTGAATAAGTCACGTAGTTTTTCCAATAATAATTTGTGAAATATATTCTTGCATTTTGTTTCTTTTTATACAAAATAACACGTTAAAACTTTGGAGATTACTTGAAATTGGGAGAAGGATTACATGCGTCTGATTTTGAATCCGAAATGGACAAATTACGATGAACTGTTACGTTCGACTAGCAATCTACGGGTCGTGAGTTCGAATCCCAAACATGCTCACCTCTTTAGTCGTGGGAGCTTTATAATGTGGCGATTAATCCCACTTTTCTTTAGCAAAAAGTTGGCGGTGGGTGGTGTTAACGAGCTGCCTTCTCTCTAGTCTATCACTTGAAAATCAGGAACGGCTAGCGCAGGATGGCTTAGCACGAGATTCAAAAAAGATAAACTGATATAAAATACCCGTATTCGGTATTCCGCTGCGTGTTTTAAAGAGGCTTCTGCGTACAGATCAAGCTCCTCAGTTAACCGTAAACAAATAAATCTCACTGGGACTCCCGCCCATAGTTCCTAAGCACGTGAGCAGCACTTGTTCCTGCTAGTTTATTAATATGAATTTAGTTCCAAACATAGAGCAAGGAACATAATATATGATACCAATTCGAAATTCTGCTAGCTTCCAAACTGTCTGAGGAGCCGAGGACAAACAACGTGAATTAATATAGGGAAGGGGGGGCTGCAGTTTACGTGATTTTTATCATTTCCCCGAAAGGGGGCCGAAGGCCGCCTTAAAGGTTCACCTGTTTAACCACTCGTACCGCTGTACAGTAGTGTGTTGTCTGTCAGTCAGTCAGTAGACACTAAAATGAGGCCACATAAGGGACGCTTAATGCTACAAGTTGTACTGTCGTGACGTCATGTAAAACGTGTGCATGCCATGAATCACCAGAAGAATTGTGCACTCTTTAGGCTTAAACACAGCATAACATATAAACTTCAAAAATACGAAATAAAAGTATTTGTTACTCTTAATTTTGGTTTTATTTACTCTTGAAATAGAACATATTCGGGGACCCTACGAAAGTACATCTAGTATATTTTAGACTTATTTGTTTTTAATGCTTTGTCAGCTTTCAGTGTGTAAACTGTTACCTTTAATATATGCTATCGTTTACCACCAGCTGAGCTCCGTAATGGTTTTCGGAAATTCTTTCACAAACTTGCAGTTTACTGAGCGTACTTGCAAAAATTCTGTAAAATGTATCAAAGCTACTTTATATTAGTCAATCATTTTCTTTTTTGTAAATTCAATAGTTTGACAAGAGTGACAGAAACAAGAACAAAAATTAAGTACTGTGCTCTGTTTAGCCACCTTTACAATAGCTACCTTTTTATATTATTATTCTAGATCAAAGAAATTGATAAAACTATATTTGAACAAAGTATTCTATAAATGGCCGCCCCGTTCATAACGCTAAATTATGTAAAATTCAAGATAAATCGTAAAATCACAAAATTTACTTATTGTTTCGTAGTTAATCACAAAGCTACACAAATGGCTATCTGTGCTCTTCTCACTACGAGTATGGAAACCCGGTTTCTAGCGGTTTAAGTCCACAGACACACGCTGTGCCACTGGGGGGCACATTTACTTATCAATATAAACATTCATGATACAGTCGGTGGGATAGTGTACATTTTTCCCCGCTGGTATAAAAACAAAAATAAGTATACATACCTTGGGGGATAAACATAAAATAATTTTACTCATGTTTGTTACTTTGTTGTCTTTATTATGTTTGTTAGTGTATATAATATTTTCAGAATTTTACTTAGGAAATCTTACAAAACCCAGCTGAACGTTGTGATAAATAAATGTT